GCAGAGGCAGGAGGATTGGTGGGAACCAGCCTAGCCTACGGAAAGAGCTCCAGGCTGACATGGTAAGCTACAGGAGCCCAGGCTCCTGTCCCAAAAGGTCAGCAGAGCTAGCAAGGGTCTGAGAGGAATGAATAGGGGACGCAAGAGTCCGGGTAGAGCTGGGCAGGAGGAATCAGTTCTCGTGTTACACAGGACACGGGGCTCCACACACTTGACAACAATTACCTGCATATTTCAAATTACCTAGCCAAAGACTCTGAAGAATCCCATGGGAACGGACGTCTGAGATGACAGACGTGCAAATCACTCTCTCTGACCTGATACCACACATGACACACATATACTAAGAAGCCATAGCCCCAAAACATGCAAAATTACTGTGTCAATTAAAATTAAAAGTGCATTTTTAAACAACACTTATGAATCATGCATATTCTGTCTCCTAGTCTTCACAAATGCTGTCCATTTATTATTCTGTACTAAGTTGGCCAACTGTACAACAGTTATTTATGGCATTTTACAGGAGGAGGAGGGTGCGGAAGAGGTCCAACACTGTCATTCCCATCCATGCACGGTGTTCTCTTCAAAGACTCACAAAGTCATCCATTATCTAAACTCCAGCCTGCCAATCAGTGAGCACTATGCTCAGGTACACACATTTTAAATATGCCACTGTGCCTTTTCTGTGGCAATGAAAATCATGAGATAACCCTTGCCGGGGAGGGGGGCGGGGGAGGAGAGGCTCAAGGGTAAGGGCAGAGTAATAGCCATGCTGCTGCCAGGAACCCAAACAAAAGGAAAGGTTATCACAATCACTGTGTCACAGGGGCCAAGCAGTGCAGGGCTGTGCCTCTCCCACAGGGTTGAAGGGGCCTCCATTTTCTAAGTGTTATGGGAAAAGGAAACCCATTGTTGAGGCAAGAGTGTGCTGGAGTGATAGCCACCGTTACTGCCCCATGCAAGGCCCCATCCCACTGTCCCGTGTCCTCCTGGCTCATCCCACTGCTCCAGGCATGGTCTTCCTTGAGTACAAGTCGTGTCCTCCTGCAGGGCCTTGGGATTTACTCTGACATCTGGAATGCACAAGGTTCAACAGCTGTCTCTACTGAGTAGCTGTCCGAGGACTCATCAGCTCTGACCTCCCACACTAGGCAGGATGTCACCCTCCAGGAGACTCTCCCTGTCCTCACAGGCCTTGCCACTTGCTGGTTTTCTCAACAGCCTTGTGGACACACAACATGCATTCTCATTCGCCATTTGAAGTATACAATGCATGTATTAGTTTATTCAGGGAGTTATCTGATTCGGGGGCCATCTTTATCACATTCACACCTCGCTTGTCCCCTCCCCCTTCAACAGGAGGCCACTCTCCCTCCTGCCTCTAGAGATCTGCTTATTCTAAACATCTGTGATCACAGAATGGCTCAGGACATTGTGTGTATTACATGCACTTCCATGTCTCTGTCCCTCCTCCCAGAGTCCCAACACTTCTGAGGGCACGAGCCTGGCACATGGCAGGTATGGATGTGCAAGAGAGGTGCATGCTCTAAAAACAGCCTACAGCCTCAGCACCGTGGCGTTCGCTCACAAAACCTCAGTGAGCGCAGCTAGTGCAGAGGCCTGAGCACAAGAAGGCTGAGGGGAGGAGGGGCGGACAGAGCATTCAGTTCATGGTGCATGGCTGTGGGGGGGGGGGGGGCCAGGTGTGTGTGTGTAGAGCGTGTAAGTGGCTGAGGGTGGGGCTTGCTTAAAATGCTGCTGCCTCCCAGTAGTCAGGAGGCTGAGGCAGGAGGATCCCAAGATCAAAGTCAGCCTGGGCTGACTCAAAACAAAACACTGATGTTAGCCCAGCAAATAGGCAGGCTGGATCGCTGGAACTTGAGCTCAGGGATACTGAGTATGTGGGATTTGAAAAAGACAGTATGTAATTTTTTTTAACTACAGTAAAATTAATTCACTTCGAAATGACTTGGGACACAGTATCTTCCATAAAATGAAGCCTACGCTTTGAGAAAACTAAAACCAAAATGTTTTAAGTGATCTCTAATTCCAATTTACAGTTCCACATACAAATTAACAGTCACTGGCTGTATGAGATGGCACAGGGCATTTTTGTATCCTGGCATTTTTATTTTTAAGGCAAAATTATTAGATCACAGTGACATGTTTTTCATACTGTAAGACTAGGCAGGACACCCCGAAAGCTAGGTTTGCAGTCAGCTCCAAGCCACATGACCTTCCTAACCAGAAGTAGGCATCTCTTTTTCAACTAAATGAGCTAATGATGCCTACCTCACAAGGATGCTGCAAGAGTCAGAATGTTGCAATCATGCAGGGGACATGTAAAGTCCAACCTAGGCCTGGCTACAAGCCAGAGGGCGGCATCTTTTAAGCCTTCTCCCACCATTGCCACACCAAGCCCACTTAAAGCAATGCAAAGGTACCTTATATGCCCACTGAAGCCAGGGTATAACCCAATCGATTAATGAAAATGGGAGAGCGGATTCTAACACGCAGCACCTCAACTCAGCCATCACCTGCCAACAGCCACAACCACTCAAACAGTCTGGGCAGTGCCCAACAACACTAATCCAGTGCCCTGCAGTATAAGAACAAAAGGTCAAGGCCCAGGGCGGGCAATCAGGCAAAGGAAAGGCAGGCAGCGGGGAGGAAAGTGTCAACCTGTCTGGTCAATGACTATCTGCCACTGGAACAAAAAGCCAAAAGAGGGAGCTGCAGAAGGGGGCGTTGATAAGCAGGCCCCTGTGTGATGCAGCATTTGCATAGAGTACAAAATCCAAAATTAAATCCATCCGAGCCGGCTGCGGGCAGTTTCCTCTTCACTCTCACACAACACAAGAAGAAACCCAAGAGGAGGCACACCATCCAGCACCCTGTCTGTGCCTGTCACTGCCATCTCAAAGGATCCGGTCACTTGAGGACGCACGGGCTGTATGTGTTCCCAATGTGACAAGGTACAAAGGACCCCAGATTCCTTCTCCTCTCCCTGCCTGCCATTGAGATCAAAGCTTCACAGGGTCATTCAGAGACAAATAACATCTCAGAGCCCAGGTTTAGAGGAAGGAATGTCAGGTCTGGTGCTCTCTAGGCCACTAAGTCCCAACTCTGCCATGGCCCAGATGAGCCAGCTCATCTATCGCCAACCTAACACAGGCCCTTGGTGCCCCATCTGGAGAGCCAGAATGACAGGATCCTCTCCACTGCTCCACTGAGCAGGTACCCAAAGCAGGGTGACAGAGAGCTGCCCACACCATGCACCAGTGCTACCTGGCCTGGACCTGGAACAGCTCGACAGAAAAAAAAAGCAACAACAGGAGACATATCTCTAAGGCTATTAATACAATAGCCCCTGGACTGACTTACAACTATCCTGTCCGGTTTATATAACTGATCAGGACTAGGAATCTATGGACTAGCTTCAGGACTGGCATCTTCAAAAAGAGATGTTAAAAATACTTAATCATGCCTGAAAAATGGGGATGGGGTGGAGGAAATTAACTTTATTATAAAAGTTACTGAATGGTTCTAAGCAAATTCTCAATTTCTGGCTTTTCTGCAAGGTTGTCAGATATCACCTGTATCTTAAAACTTGCAGGAGTATTTCCACATATACCTACTTAAGGGAGAATGTCCAACAACTTAAACTGTTTCGGCAGCAAATGAGAAAGCACAGAGTATTTTTCTGAGCCATAGTACTCCAGCAGGGCTAAATACCTGTTGTCACTGCAAGTCACCCTGCCAAGGGAGGGAGGCAGAGGAGTAAACCGAAAGACCTCAGCCACTCTACCAGCTACAGCATCCCAAGAGGAAGGATCTACGGCAAAGGAGGCAAGTACCAGGGGTCTCTGACCAGGCCATTCACGGGCCAGGACAACGTGCTCCCTCTGTGGAGTACGTGAAAAGCAAGAGTACAAAGCTGAGACTTGTCCACGTGCAGGGTAGAGTATCCCAAGGCTGGAGATGCAACACCCAGTTAAATCTCAAGCCACTGTGTAAAAAGCTCAACCCCAGTGACCTTGAGGTTGCCCTTCCTGTCCTCCAGCTTCCTCAGCTGTGAAATGTGGGTGCGGCAGATCTACTTGGGGTAGGGGTAGCAAACACAGTAATAAAGGCCTCCTCTCCTCCACCCTCATGCCCCTTTAAATACCCATCTTCCTACAGAGGAATTTTAACTCCGAACAGGGCTGCTCTGGCTAAAGAACATATCCAAAGACCTCTAGGGTCTGGGAGATCCAGCTGGAGTGCAAACACACTGGGGTGTTGGGGTAGGGGCTGGCAAACTTGGTTCATCCCAGGAGACAAGGGCAAGAAGATATCTGGGTTCAAGGCCAGCCTGGTATAGAGCAAGTTTCAGGTAAAGGAAAGGTTAGGTCCGGGAATGGTATAACAGGCCTTTAATCCCAGCACCCAAGAGACAGGGACATGCAGATCTCTTGAGTTCTTCTAGTCAGTTCGGTTCAGTCAGACTACTGAGTCAGTGAGGGGAGAGGCAGTGAAGTGGAGCTGAGTTTGTGGCTGGTCAGTGCTTGAAATTCAGAGGCAGTTTTTACTGGGAGAAAAAACTTTTACAGAGAGAGGCTGAACAGAAAACAAGCTAAACACAGGTGAACATAGAACAAGCAGAAGAATGAGAAGCCAGAAGATTAGAAAATTGCTAGAGTTGGTTTGCGGAGCAGAGTAATTTCATGAGATTGAATCAGTCAGCTAGGAGAGGAGTTTGAGCCAGACAGCTGAGCTGAACCAGCCAGCCAGAGTTCAGAAAGTAGAAAGGGCGAGCTTACTCAGCAATAAGTCTCAGAGGCTGAAAGAATTGTAGGCCTAGATTACATTGTACGGGGGCTAGAAGCTTCCAGGGCTAGGCCTAGGTTGGCTATATCAGGAGAATGAAAGTTATTTTTACATCTCGCCTGCCCTCCTCTTGCTTCCTTTCCACTCCTCCATCCCTCAGGTCCTCCTGCACTCAGCACCCCCACACCCACCTGGTTGGGCCGCTCCTACTATCTTCTCAAGCCCACCTGCTCATGAACTAACTTCTTTCCTTCCCCAGTGAAACTCCAAAGGTTAGGCTGACAGGGCAATTACTAGCCCTTCTACTAAGTCTAGCTGTGTACTGCCTACCGAGTCCAAACACCCTGGATACCCATTAACCCAGCCACCAGCACTCCCCCAGCGCTTGCCCCTCCCTCTGCCCCTCCACACTCTCTGAAAAGAAAGCTCCAGCTGACCTTGCATGTTTGCAAGTCTGGAAAAAGCAGTGACAGGCTGTTCAAATAACAGACTGTCTCTTTTCCTCACCAGTTCCTATGACGCCACACCTACCCAGAGGTCAACATTACACAGCAACAGCAACCTCAGATACCTCAGCTCATGGGTTCCTTAGGACCACGCCTCTCCCCCTCTCCTCCCTGCATCCCAGCCTCCTTGCTGTTCCTCACATCAGCCTGAGCAGCCCTCAGAGCACAGGCTCTGGTGCCCCTCCCCCTTAGTAACTAAGGCCTTCCTTGACCGCACCAACATCCTCACCCCTACCCACACGCTTCCTCTGCCTTATTTTTCTCTACAGAGCTACTCACTATGAAATGTTTCTGTTTATTATCTGCCCTTCGCCAGAATGAAAGTTTCCAAACAAATGAAGAGCTGGACCTTGTGCACAGTAGGTCCTCAATATTCACACTGGGTGATTTATTCTAATAGTTAATAGTTAATCACCTACAATCTCACAGCTAATAGATGGCAAAGCAAGGCTGTGTGACTCCAGACACTCTGACTTAAGGGTCTATACCTACCAAGCACATCCCTACTTCCCAAGCTGCCTTCCACAGAGCAGCAGGAGGCCACCATCACATCCACGGAGCAGACACTGGTATGGCAGGTCTCTGGCCCACAGAAAGGCTACCCACCCTGGAAAACCTTTGGAGTCATCATGAGATACATGGTTCATATAGCATGGCCCATTTCCTTTAGCTCAGTGTGTGACGCAGTAGTATCTTCGTGAAAAGAAAAATAATGAAGCATTTACACGAAGGAGATCAGCTTAAGAGCCAAGTGTCTGGAGGTGGGGTCTCGGGGAAGCACTGACTCATGGGCAGGACACAGAGAGGCTCTTAGAGTGTTGATTATGTCCTGTATCTGCATTCAGTTATTGCTCTGCCAGGGTATTTGTTTACCAGTCTATCCAACCCTATACTTAAGCGGCCACGATTTTATAATATGTAAATTATAACCTCACTAAAATTGACCAGAAGGCTTTAGAACTATCAGGTATTATTTTTGGCTAAGCACAGTAATCCCACAAACATTTCAGTTAGTATTCTCAAATCACAGCATGCACGGGGAGCGAGGGGTCAGATTCTGAGCATCCTACCTCTGAAATGGATTTCTCAGACACAAGAGAGGCCATCACTGGGGACAGATGTAGAGAGCTCCATCTGAGATCCAGCCGGCTGGCCTGCTTGTGGCCATCCTTAATACCTGCAGAGCTGGCTCCCACCACCCCCAAGTGACATTACATGAATCAGTCTTGGTCACCTCTGAGTGGAGCCTACAGGTGGCTACACTAAAAAGGGAAATCGCTGTGAAGAACCTCTGCCAGATGAACTGAGCAGTGGCAGGGCTCTGGCTGAGTTCTTACTGGCCAGCACTGGGAACCAACTGTGGCGAGTTTAAACAGAAGTGCTGGTTTTGTTTTGGGTTTTGTTTTAAATATAGCAGGAGACACACTAGGGAAACTAGAAAGCCGGGCCGTCAAGCACGCAATGCAAAGAATCCCCCACAGGCACATGGTGAGATTCCCCACAGACAGAACCGGGGACTGGAGCAACTCCAGCTCTAGAACCAACAGAGGCTGCCTCGGCACCCACCACAGTGGTTCTCCTCAGGCTGCCGCCTCCCTGCCCACCTCCACCTTCAGGAGGCACTGGAGGCGGGACAGGTGCTTCCAAGCGGGCGTGCTGCCAAGGACAAGTGTCCCTCAGGCCAGAGCCCTTGAGGACAGATGGCACTGTGGGGATGCATCACTCTCTGCTCAGCGAGCCCTACAGATACAGGCAGCAGGTAGAGAGTGATTCGCAAAACGCTCATGAGAAAAAGAAATCCCCAAAGAACTGCCAAAAACAAAACAAAACAAAAATCACCACGTGCAGAGAGATAGTGCTGCCCTGGGGAAGGGGTCTTTTTCCTACTGTTTCACTGCTTTATTCCATATACTCACAAGTTTCAAAAAAGACAGCCTGCTTTCCTAGGTGAAAACAACTTGTTTAATATTTTTCTAATTAAAAGAAAAACCATTCAAACCTCAGGTAGCAGGCACTCTGCAGAACCATGGACACTCCAGAAGGGGGGAAAAAAAATTATTGGCTCTAAAACTGTCATGTGAAACTTACAAAGCATATAATTCTATTTAAAATGGATTTCAGTGTTTTTCTTCTTAAGATACATTTTCTAAAGTATGTTCTTAAAATAATAATTCTCAAGAGGTACGTATAACCTGAATTTCACAGTAAGAACTGCAGGAAGCAATCAACACCAGCTCAGGCGTCCAACCAGAATCCTGTCCTCTGTCAACTTTAGCTTTAACTTACACACTGTAACACAGTAAGTGGGGGGTGGAGGAACGCTACTAACAATGTCATTGTATCATTTTCTGTTTTATGTGCATTTAATATTTTACCTGTACATTTGTGCATGTGTGTGCCTGATGCCCTCAGAAGCCAAAGAAGGTGTCAGATCCCCTGGAATTGGAGTTACAGACTGTGGTTAGCCACTATGTGGGTGCTGGGAACCAAACCCAGGTCCTCTGCAAGAGCAGCTAGTGCCTTCAATCAGTGAGCCCTCTCACCAGCCCCCTGCCTCAATATATTATTAACTGAAGAAATGAAGCCTTAAGACCAGGATATGGTCATAAGACAAGAGAAAAGCAAAACAGTGTCAAGCTATCTCCCAAACAGATCTGGTGACAGCTCTAACCCAAACAGACTTTTCCTAGTCCCTTTCACATACCTTGTAGCATTTTCATCTCTCCACACTAGACACTTTTCAATCAAACTTAGTTTACATGCTGATACATTACAGTCTGAATATGAAATGTTCCCCAAAGGTTTACAGCTTGAAAGCTTGGTACCCAGCTAGTGTTGCTACTTGAAAGGTTGCAAAAACTATGGGACCTCTGGAGAAAGGAAGTCACTGGTAATGGGTCTTAGGGAGTATAATATTGCCCTGGCCCCTTAACTGTCATGTGCTCTGAGGACAGGCAGACGGGCAGGAGCCTTCCCAGGGGAGACGGCAGGCCTCAACTACAGGAGCCACCCTACATCACCAGCTCTTCTTCTGAGGAGGCCATCCTTAACAGAGCACCTGGAAGCCCTCGAGCCTTTTGAGGAGGGAAGGGAATACTAAGAGCAAAGGTGATTCAACTACTGAGAGACCAAGGCAGCATAGACTAAGCCTCCCAGAGGGTCACCTGTTATCACAAAAAAGACTGCATCAGAGCCAAGGTGGTGGTTATGAGTTGGGGAGAGGGGATAACTGTAGGGGGTAGAAAGAGATGCAGCCTGTGGTTATGTGGTTATCTTGTTAACATGCCTGGATTTAGAACCATGTACAAGACACACTGTAGGTCTCTCTGAGGGCACTTCTCAGAGGGGTTTAACAGAGGAGGACCCACTGTCTCATGGGCTGGGTCCAAGAATGAACTATGAAAACTATGGACACAATGTAATTAGTTAGCTGCCTCCAACACTTGCCACTCCTTCCCAGCTCGGCCAGACTCTCCTCAAACTGAGAGCCAGAACAGGCCCTTTTCCTCAAGTTCCTATTGTCAGCTATTTGGTCCAGCAACAGGATAAACTTGAATACACAGCCTCTCCCTTCCACTACAAAACAGAAAAAGATGAGAAGCATCTGAAGTTCCAACACGGATGATTAATATTACTGTGCTCTCATTAACCAAATGAACTAAGTAGTTCTGGTCTCCTCTTGCCTTGCCTAACTACAAAGCCAGGGCCACATATACAGCCTATTTCCCATATACGAAAACAACTTGGTACAGCCTCAAGTCTAGATGTCTCTGGGAGTCAGTACTTACCAAAGGTACCCTGACAGGCCAGGTGCATTTCTGACAGACTGCATTTTGCTGCTGTGTCAGCAGAATTACTGGCTAATTATTGGCTACAATTACAGGAATGACTATGGTAGTGATTGTGTGTTTGTTTGGTTTGGTTTTCAAGACAGGGTCTCTGTGTAGCCCTGGCTGTCCTGGAACTTGTTCTGTAGCCAGGCTGGCCTTGAACTCAGAGATCCACCTGCCTCTGCGACGACCCTCGTGATGAGATTAAAAATGTGAAACACCACAACGAGCAACCACTAAAGTGATTAAGATGAGAATAATGCAAACTTCAAAACAGAAAGAAGGAAGGAAGTTACAGCAGCTCAAGATAAAAAAAAAAAAGGAGACAATGATAAAGGGGTTTTTTGTTTTGTTTTTTGTTTTTTATGGGGGGAGGGGGAACAGGGCTGGATACCATCAAGCACCCAGTAGGGGCCTTCTGTGAGCCAGGAATGGATATGGATAGTGAAGGGAGTCATTGTATAGAAATCCCCAAAAGAGAAAAAGATGAGAGCTTTCTTCTTTGGTTCAGTTACAGACAAGACTACAGTGGTGGCTATTCTTGGTTGTCAACTAGCCTACATCTGGTATCAACTAAACCCAAAATGGGGTGGCATGACTGTGAGTGATTTCTGCTTAATTTGAAGTGGGAAGAGTCACTTCTAATCCGGATCTTTGAGGTGGGAAGACACACCTCTAATTTAGGCCATGCCTTCTGCTGGAAGCCTATATAAGGACATGGAAGAAGGAAGCTTTTGCTCTTTGCCTGCTTGCTCCTGTCCTTATTACCAAGCCCATTCCTTCACTGGCATTAGAGCCTACTTCTTCAGAATCCCAGCATACATTGAAGACCAGCTGGATCTTGAACTTTCCATACATACAGTCATTGTTTGATTAGCTGGACTACAGCCTATAAGTCATTCCAGTAAATACCCTTTCTACACAAATAAAGACAGATTCATTGTATAAGTTGTTACTCTAGAGAACCCTGACTAATACAACTACCCTCCCCTCCCTCTCAAAATCCTTTCTAATAAAGAGTCAAAATCTTAATGTATATATATATATATATATATATATATATATATATATATATATATGCATAGTTAAAATCCACAACAAAGTATCAGACCTAGCCAAGGGCCAAAAATCGAAGGTCCCAAACACTAGGAAAGCACAGGCTGATACTGCCTAGGGCTTTTGGGGCTTACAGACTAGATGGAGAACAGTGTGGAAAGGGCAATTGTCCTTCAGGATGTGATAGGAGAAAACAAAAACAAAAGAAATGAAGACTAATATTTTCTTAAATCTTAAAGACAGCTACAGGTCTTATGCATTTTTTCAGCCTTATTTCGAAAGAGCAAATCCCAGAATTAAATACTTTTTTTTTTAAATGTCCATAATATGTACATTACAAGACGTTTCTTAGAGACTTTGCTGCAGGAATTGTTTTCCCAAAATATCATTTACTAGCCAGTTTCTCAGATCTTATTTTAAAAGTCATCTTGTAAGAAAGAAGGGCTGGAGAGACAGCTCAGCAGTTAAGAGGGCTTACTGCTCTTGCAGAGGACCTGAGTTCCATTCCTAGCACTCACAACCGCCTATAACTCCAGTTCTGGGGGATCCCAAGCCCTCTTCTGATCTCCACAGCATCTGACACATGTGCATACCCCCACACACACGTGCATAATTAAAATAAAAATAAACCTTAAAAAACACTGTGCAATACATACACAAGTTCAGTAACATCTTTACCCTGTCAAGTGGTTTCCAAATCTTAAAACTTGTCCACAAGATGTTTACCATTGGGTCATTAAAACATCTCTCTGATAACTATTATCAACAGTTTCATAATATTTGATATAGCACGGAAAAACAATCGATCACCTCTGAGCCAATCTTATAGCCCCTACATTTGATTTAGGAATGACCACAAAGAAAAAATGGCAACGGATGTGGTGGCTGAAAGTCCACAAACTCTGTAACAGCCTGAAGATCTCTAACAGTCAACAGAGAAGGACTTTCCAGCCCAGCATCAAAGGGGCAAATAACCGCCTTTGCACTTAAAGAAAAGACATCACACTTTCCCCGTTGCTCACCTTTAGGACTTCATTTCAGGTTCAGGCATGAGACTATTTCAACCCCAAATTCCACTATGCTGCCATTGTCGATTCACTTCCAAAAAATATGTCCCCTAATTCTTGGGCAAACCAAGAATAGGCCAAGAAATACTACTGCAGTTATCTGTATTTTCTTCACAGGGGAAAAATGTGTCTCTACTTAGCTCCCATACTTAATTATGTAAGGCTGTATACTTCACCCTAGGTTTCCATACACTGAATCCACTCTAAATGCTCCTTGATAAACGCTGCTTTAGAACGAATGTGTGCAGGATGGTTCAAGACAAAAACATTCACTCCGCAAGGCTACCAGATGCAGGGAAAAATAATTAACTCGGAGAAAGGCCACGACTTGGCCTGGGCTCGCCCTCTGCGGTGGACACTGTCCCAAGGAACCCCAGTACCTCCGGAGAGAGAACGCATTGGGTCTCCGCGGCATAAAGCACGAGTTAGCCAAGCAGGGAGGTTCCAAGGCGCGCGCTGCATTCTGGGACTCGTTTCCACAGTTACCCACGTGCACTCAACCCAACCGCGGCCCAGCGCGGCTGGAACTACAAGTCCCAGAATTCCGCGAGCCTGCCTTTCCCTTTACACCGGCTCCCCGAGCCAGACCCTAAAGGAAACCCCTAAAGCACCCTCCCGGTGCTTCGGGCCGAGGTCGCTCCTCGCACGGGCGGTGCTGTGCCTCCGAAACGGCCCTCCGTACAGGGTAGCGGGTCCTGACGCATCAGCCTCCACACCTGATGGTCAGAAATTAGACAACTGCGTCACACACTGCCAAACCTACGGACGCCGGGGACCCCGACACCCTCTTAGGCTCATCCCCCCCCCCAACACACACACACACACACACCACGCCTTCAGGACCCGACCGAGCAGTCAGCTCGCAGACGGCCGCCCTGCCCCGCCTCCCGGTCCCGAAACCCCAGCCCGCGCTGACCTCGCTCCCCGCTGCTCGCCAAGCGCGGTGGCCACGGCCAGCCTCGGGACACCTCCCGGGTACCCGGCCCCGCCCCCTCCCCTCCGCGCACTCCGAGGTTCAGGGCGGTCCCCTCCTAGGCAGGACCCGGCCAGTCCAGGGAGGAAGCGCCTCCCCCAGTGCACAGTCCAACGCCCCCCACCCCGCCCCGAGAGCACCGAACCCGGGGGGATGACAGCCCTCCCAGTCCCCACTCCTCCCCACCTCCTAACTCACTCCGCACGCCTCCCCCCCGGGCCCCGTCCCAGCCCCCAAACTGCACCGCAGTTGGATCCGCCATCCACTCCTCCAGGGACCCCACCGTCCCAACACCTGCCCCCAAGCCCTCTCTCCACTCCCGGCCGCCGTCCCGCACACCGGACTCCTCAACTACCGCATCCCACCGCGCTGCCTCCCACTCCGCGACCCCGTTACATCAGTCCGCAGCCCCTCACCGGCCGGG